GTTAATATCTTCAAAAAGTCAAAGGGTCCCCACTTGTTCGCCATCGTTGTCAACGCGTGCCTGGAATTTTCTCCACGTGGTCTCCAGAGCCCGGAGGCACAAACATTTCTCGTGGTGTTGTTACAAATTCTCAGAAATGTTCAACATTTTTTTGTAGTACCCTGTAATATGAAATATACCAACCGTTGAGCGACGGTCATTTCCCATCCCAACTCCATGACCCCTGTTTGACCTCTCACCCATCCAGCGTGTGACAACCCAACCCCCGAAGACAACGATGCCCCCCCCCCACCCCCGTATAATCTGCACAGACTGTAGGGGCAAGTGCTGTTAGCGAGTAGTACCTATGAAGGCCGGCACGGCACACGCAGGGGGTGAATGGCCAACACTACGCCCAGCCGCCTTTGTCCTTGATGTTTACACACCGCACGAGGTACTCATTTGAGGCCGAGACGACCTAGGGGAGGCCCAGGACAGATTTAGGTAATTCGTCACCGGTGTTTGTCGCGAGTGGGAATCGAACTCGAGCGGCCGGGTGTCCTATCGAGCGCGCTAACACAGCTCCCCTATACGGATTGACACGGCTGTACACAGACAACATGTTGAAGATTAGGATGTGTGGTAGAGAAGGAATAGGGCACCACGGTGGCGAGATGTTAACTAGCTCGTCTGGTATGCAGGAGGTCGTAGGTTCGAAGCTGACCCTAACGCCTGCTGTGTATTTGTAGTTTGCGTGTCAGTCTCTCTCTCCCCGTGGTCGCGTGGATTTTTCTCCGGGTCCTCCGGGTTTTCCCCTCCACATTTATAATCAACATCATGCGTTCAGAGTATTTGTCTGCTTCAAATGTCCACGAGATGATAAGCCACTTCGTTGAGCTATCATTTGATAGCCAGGTCGCTTCTGGAAAAGAGCTATACAGCTCAGTAAACCTTACCTGGTAAAATGAAAAAGTTAAATATAGCAGCTCATTGTCCTCATTGTGAAGCCAGACTTAACATGGCTGCAGCACACCACTGTACATCCAATGTCTCTCGGCATGCCAAGTTGAACTTACCCTCGAGCAGAATTTAACCCCGCAGGACTAACGCGAAGCTCCGCCGTTGTTTGGATTTGTGCGACGCGGGTTTATTCTCAAGAAATATATTATTATTTGTTTTGTCACGAGCGCCGTTAACGTGGCATATTTACTGCCGAGCCGTTGTTGGCAGAGGACGACGCATATGGAGCGGACAGAACTAAAACCCATCCCTGTGAACGGATGGCCCCATGACTACAATACAAAATGCGCGAGTGTGGGTGGCAAGAAATTGCCAAAAAAAACTAACGAAATTTACATTTAGCCATTCGCAAAAGTTCTGCCCGCACGCCGTTTGCGCGACTGCATTTGTTTTTTTCTGTTTATGACAAAGAGATGTAAGCATTCTAAATGAAACCTCTGGCTGTAGAAAAAGGTGTCCTAGAATTGCTCTCGGCCAAAAGCTTAAACATTTGTCAGCTGCAATACTTGGAAGGGCAGTTATAGGGTAACCGAGTGTGAACGGCTGTATGCATTGCACGGATTTAGCCAAACATTTATGAACTTGGAAAACTTGAGGTTCCAACTTTAAAAACATTGTCCCCCACCCCCCTCACTGCAGCAAAATGCCAACAAAAAACCCACGGCATTCAAGACCGAACAAATAAATCTCATCAATCGCCTAGGGCGGGTCACCGTTTTACAAATGCAATCTCTTCAATTGTCCAATGTGGTGGTGGTGGTGTGGGGGGTGTATGGGCGTGCGTGGAAATAAGCAGTCAATCTAGCCCGCAACACAGCTGCTGCCCCAGCCAAATCAGTAACAGCGACATGACGAGCTCGAGTTGCCAGCACCGTGTGCCGTTTTTAAATCCTTTATATTAAGTTCACTTGCTTGCTTGCTTGTGCGCTTACGACCGTGCAAATCTTTCGGTCGTTTTTTAACCCACTTCCCGTGATCCAATCGAGCTGACATTTTGCACACAGACTCGTTGTGCGTGACAATTTCTTTTCGTGAATTTTTTTCTCTCCAAATTTTGCACTTTTTAGGTAAAATGTTTTAATATTTAATTACCAATTGCTTAATGGTGGCAGGCAATCATCTGACCCATAGGTGGCAGCCATCTCAAGCCAGAGGACGAGAGGACTCTAGCCGCCCGTTTCAAAGACCAATGTGGGCTGGGTTGTGGCCCATTGAACACGCATATAAAGGATTTATAATGAAAAACTTCGTTTTTACGGGTTATACTTTTTTGTTGTTGTTGATGCCATGAAGGGCAGAAGAAGAAATAACTTTTTGGCAATGCAGAGCTCATTGCGTGTGCGCTTGGCACTTGGCTTAGGGATTTTTGCACACAGCGTTTTTTTTTGGAAGATTTGCTGGTTTATCCAGGATGTTTCTGTTGCGCGTCGTCGCTTTAAGATGTTCTCCGTTCATACTTTGTTTGTTGCGGTTGCACCCGACTTAAGAGCCGCATGGCTCACAGGGCTATACCAAATAAATGAAACTTGAAACTTGATATCATGCGCTATAATCTTCTTTTGAAACGCGTGCAGCAAAAAAAAGAATTATTTTACGCAGTCGTATGACGGTGGAGGTGGTGCGCACACTGAATATAATCGCACTGCACCATGAATCTGATTAATTGAATTTTGATCAGTGGCTTGAGCCGAGTGACAAGATATCCCATCCAGTTGTGTGGTCTCCTCCCCTCTCAACACGGATTGACCATCACAGCGAAGTATGGTCAAAGAACCTCGATGACCAGAAGTGCGTTTGTAGGGAGAGAGAGAGGGGGGGGGGGGTCTTTATCCAGCAGTGGATTCATAAAATGGGGTGAACGTAATTTCTGTTATTAATTATACATCTCAAGGAGGCGCCATGTAATAGCGAGATTGCGATCATAGTCGGAACAAGTCCTGAGGTTTCCGCAGCGTGCAAAATCAACATAACCTCCGTCAATGCATTTCATCTTTTTCCTGGGACCTCCTCCTTTGCAAGTACCAAAATATAATAGATTTTTCCCCTTTTTGCCGTCTCTGGTGTGGACCAATCAGTTTCAAGGACAATGCATATATTATCAGTGTTTTTTGTTTGCATTCTGACCACAATCAGTGGTTAACGCAGACATGATTCCTTGTAAAAAGTTTTCAGTTTGGTGTTTTAACATCTTTACACCCTTCTTTGCGTTGTGGCCGAAACGTCGTGAGAATTATTTTATTATGTTTTATTTTTATTATTTTATTTCCATTCCACGTGACTTTACCGAAAGAACCAAGAAGATCTTTACACCCGTTTTGTTGCCAGAAAAAAAGGGTAAAAAACCTACTATCATTTCATCTTTTGTTCACACATTGAAAAGGAGAGGTGGTGGTGGGGAGATGGTTAAAATTGAGGCCACGTGCACAGGTAGAGAGAAGGGTTAAGTGGCAGATCGCGGATTCGTCAAGCCACACGCCCGCGCGTGCAGAGTCGGCAAGGTTTTGTCCTGGAGCCCCGAGCGAGCGGCTATTACGCCAGCAATGACGCGCGAACGAGTGCTCTGCACGTCACGAGGTGCCTGGCGGACCATTAATAACGCATCGCCCGCAGTCGGAGCCCTCGAACAGCAGCCGGTCGAACCTTAAATCACTGCTCTCAAAAGCCACCCACCCAAACACCGGCGCTCAATCGGGGAGCACTTTAAAAAAGAAAATTTAACCGACGCGCGGACACGCACATACGCACGCACATATACCTGCTGCCAAACATGTTAACGAAGTCGATTTTTTCTAAACCCCCTCCAGCACATAGCCCATATAACCGCGTGTGCATTTGTTATAGAAATACAAAGCTATTCCATCATGACTAATCCCATTCACGATTGATTACATTTCCATGAGGCTTCACGGCTGCCTTCAGTGTGCACCACTACTTGTCAGACAAAACAATGTCTTGCATGTCATGGGAGCTCCCTTGCCATTATAGAAATATAATAGGTTTCTAATGCAGACAATGATTCCTTGCAAAAGGTTTCAGTTTGGTGTCTTAACATCTTAACACCTGTGTTATTGCCAGAAAGTGGAAAACCTATTCTGATGTCTTACATAACTAGACCAATATCCGCTTATGCTCTTTCGCTTGAATATTCTATTTGTACGTTAAACGTTTCGTACAGTAAACGAGAACACTGGAGTACAATTTTCTTTGGCAGTGAAGCTTATTATTGGCAGCTGGTATCGTCGGGGGGGGGGGATGAGGGGGTGTGGGGACACGTGAATTGTGACACTGAACCTCGTGAAAGACATTTGACAACGGAACAAAGGGCGGACACGTCATTGAGTTCACAAGCAGAAGAACCACAACCCACACCAGGGAGCGAGCATGACGGGACATTTTCAGGGAGAAGCTTTTACACTTTATTACATTGCCCAATAAGACAGAGAACTCATTTGATACAAGGCTGGGCTCACAAGTTGCTCCATGTGGCAGCAGTACACACACACGTACTGCAATGTTCACGGAAAAGCATGTGGTCGAGAGGTTTTATATCAAACAAGCAGTCTTATTATGCAGTGCTTAGCAAAGGCGTTAAAAGGGAACTTTGGCTAAAAAGAAAAGCCATTCTAAATGTTACAGTATCTGCACATCAGACATGGATAATCCAATTAAAAGCAAAGGTGAAGAAAAACAGCAGAGTGAATCAGTGCGAGCCAAACCAGATGCACATGCTTTGTAAACTGCCGAGGGCTCATTGTGAAAATCAAAAGGGATGTTTTAATTTATCCTTTCAAACTTGAGCGCTTAAGAACCAGGTCCGCAAAAAAGTGTTAAAACCAACATACAGCACGAAAGAGAGACAAATAATATTCACACAATCTTTAACCCTCAGACAGGAAGATTTAAAAGCATTCGCTCAAAAATGCTATTTCGTAACGCCTCACCAGAAGGTGCACACACGTTCACATCCTGCACTAAAATGGGATTATAGGATTCAGAGACTCTTTTTTAAAGGAACTTCTCACCGCAACAATTTATTAGCCTGTGGAACGATTACACCGTACTTAAATACAACATAAAAACTATGAACACAAGAAGAAGTCCTTCATAGCAATTATATGCAGTTACGTTTAACAGAAAAAAAACATTTTAATTTGGTCAAATGTTGTCAAATAATTTTCCCCTTAACATAACCTGATCATTATTAATAACAGCGAATTTTGCAAAAAGGGCATCATTACATTTTGACCATTCATTTGGATGTAAAATAAAATGTTTAGCGAAGTGGGCGTTTGTTTTGTTGACAGGCAGCAAGTTACTGAACACCAATGAGCAGCATGCTTTAAGCCTAAGAGAGCGCTGAAAAGCACATGACGAAAAAGAGTACAAAAAATTTAAAGAATCAAGTTGTCATGCTTTATTACAGAGATCAGCACGAGCAATTATTTCGACAACCAAGACAAGCCTCTCCCACCACAGCATAAGAATTGTCACACGTCCAATTGAAGGTTTTATTATCCAATACTCACTTATTAATCTTTAAGTGTACATTAGTGAATATCGCAAACACAAGAGAGGTGTTGGGGGGGGGCAGAGGAAGGGTAGGGAAAGGGCAGAGGGGGCAGTGGGTGGTGTATGGAAATGTGGAAATGTACGTCGAGTGTTCTGGGATCTGGGTAACAAATGTGGCCTTCAGGCTCCAAGCGCCAGCACTGAAAAACAAAACAACACAAATATAAACTTATACTGCATTTTGATTTAAAGCTTTCGTGACTGCAGGGATTCATATTCTTGGTTCTTTCGGTAAAGTCACGTCGAAGGGAAATAATAAAATAATAAATATATTGCATTGTTATTTTTCATAAAATGGCCAGGTAATACATTCTAACAAATATTTTAAAAAACTTGGTATGGTTTACCGTGAAGGAGGAATGATATAGTTTTGGCGTTTCACTTTTGTGCACAATACAAGAGCTGATGTTTCAATAAAGCCACCATTATTTCTGGCAACGCACATTATTTTTCTTCCGATACGAGTGGATGCGTTACACATACCAGACAGGGCTTCCTGTGCAAAGTACTTGACATCAATGTCTTGATCGCCTCCCAGTTTCTCCAGCACAGGTTTCACTTCCGACTGGAGGGTGCTGTGGAAAAACACACACACGTGTCGCGTTGCAGACCACCAAAGATTCATCTCAATTCTAAAAGTGAAAACCAATTTCTTTAGAACTGCTTTCGGTGTCAAGTTTGTTGTCCTTCCACAACACCTCCGATAAGCACGATTGACTATGTACGGGGGGGGCAGCAGCATAGACACAGCTCAATTGTGCAGGGAACTATAACAAGCACCAGTATCAATTCCTTCATTATACAATGCTGCAAAGAGCACAGTAATTACATAATGGTACATCTAGCAGTCATAAAAGGCGGGCTTTCAAACATAACATTTTTAAAAATGTAATTGTGTTATCAACTTGTCATGTGAATGTCAAATTGCAGCCTTCGAGCGATCAAAATATAATCCCCCCCCCCCCCACCGTTATTTTATCTTGGCTACAATGTTAGGCGTCGTGCGGTCACAGAAAGCACCCATGCTGCTGGAACACATGATGGTGCAGAGGAATCAATGTCACCCTGTCACCTTTGTTTCCCACAGACAGCGATACATTTCTGGACCACAACGTCCTTTTAAACCTCAAACTAATGATATCTATCTCACGCCAAGTACAGAACTGATGATACCCTTTGCCCGAGCAGTTTACAACCCAAGACCATTATACAACTACAACTTAACTCGTACTATAAAGCAAGGCAAACACGGCTCTTGACTTTACACGACCTCCATCATCATCATCAGCCACGATCAATGCGACTGCTGGATGAAATGCCTCCCCTACACGCCGTCACCACCTCTCATGGCCCCGCACACTACTTGTAATAAAATGTGACCGTTCATAACAGCCGATTAAGCATCAAGGCCTTTCTCTTTGTGCTTTGTTTTAAGTTTGTTGTCCTTACCCTGCACCTCCGGTTAGCACGGTTGCCTACGTACTGTGCGAAAGAAGTTCAACATACATTCATACATTTCAGGCATAGCAGAATGGGCGAGCATAGGGCCACAACGTACTTTGTTTCAAGGATTGGTCCAATTTTTTGCAGTGACTTGGCCACATTGAAGCGCACATTGGCCACCTGGTCTTGGGCCATGCGCAGCACCGTGGGCAGCATGAGCTTTGCCGTGATGTCTTGGCCGCACACCTCCGCCAGCACCTATTGGGCAGTCAAAAACAACCAGTCAGGTCACGAACACTCGCGTACCGTTCGCGTGCATTGTATGGGCCCCGTGGTGGTGCAAAGTTAACTACCCCGCCTGGTATACAGGAGGTCGTGGGTTCGATCCAGACCCAGACACCTGTATATTTGGGGCTTGCATGTTCTCCCGCGGTCACGTGGATTTTTCTCTGGGTCCTCCTGTTTTTCCCTCCATATTTAGAATCAACGTGCATTTAAGAGTATTTGGCCGCTATAAATGTCCACGTGATAAGCCACTTCATTTTGAGCTATCAGTTGTGGCCATTCTGCTTATGGGAAAAAAGAGCTTTATAGCTCAGGGGGCCTTACCTGGTAAAATACAAAAGTTGAAATTTTAATGGTCAGATTGGATGGGGAAAAAAAAATCCAGCCAAGGAGAGGCCAACAGCTTGACACTGGCACAGGAAGAAAAATATCAAAGCAATGCAAAAACCTTGCACCTGTCTTAACAATTGCATTCTTGTAACAGATCGTGGCTTTGGCATGTTTGGGCCAATTTGTATCTGCCATACTATATCAAAAAAATGTCATCAGAAGAGCAAAGTGCCAAATATGATGGACAAGCAATGTGGCACAACCACATAAAACACACAAGGGGGTGAGTGAAGGGGTAAGAATGCTGCTCTATGTGGAGGATTTGTGAGTGATGTGTGGAAAGGAAACAAAAGCAGCCAAGTAAGAAAATTCAATATCACCAAATATAAATATCACCATACTCTTTGGTAACTTTCGGTAACTTCCCCCCCCCCGCATCCCTTCTCCCTGGCTCCTCCCCCCTCTTACCCTATATAATCGCTCGTCACAAATAGCTCTCTCTATTCACTACAGTAATTTTGCTGTGGCCTGTGGCTGTTCCACCTGATGACGGAAGCTTGTGTTGTCTCCGAAACGTCGTGATTTTATTTAGTTATTTTCATTTTATTATTTTTATTTTTCATCTACGTGACTTTACCGAACGAACCAAAGAGTATCGATCCTTACAGTCACGAAAGCTTCAAATCTAGAATAAACATCACCGTCAAGTAACATCGACCACAGCTCTTGTTTGCAAGAAGTATCCCATAAAGCAGCCACAAAGAAAGTGCTGGTGTGTGTGGATCAGGATGTGGGACAACGCACGTTTACACAGAAGAGGGTGGTCATGCGGTGAAGGTAGTTGTGGTCATTGGACATGGCCAAGACTTTGGGGATGATAGTGCTCTGAGCCCACTCCTTGCCAAACTTCTCCACCAGTTTCTTCAGGTTGTTGGTGGCAGCCTCGCGGATCGCATACACTGATAGGAGAAACAAAACCGGTTACACCTCAAGAATGTGCAACAACAACAACAAGAAGCAATTCAAATACAGGTCATGAGCATGAACCAGTGGGTGATAATCATTGGGCAGCTAGAGGTTCAACAAAATGGTTGGCCATAGAGGCAACCTAAGCTGCGCAAGTTGGAGAGAAGGCTTGCGAGTTGGAGGGGGCAAGTGCTAGACACATCCCAGTGTAGGAAAGTATTCAATGAGCAGCTTGAGAAATCCGACTCGAACAAAGTCGCCCCAAGAGAACGGCGAGAATGGCGCAAGAGACAAGGCAAGGCACTTGGAAATTCACGTGGGAAATGCGGAAGGTCGTCCTGCCCTTAACCCACTGACATCAAAACTCTGAAGCAATCATTACATGAAAATATGAAAAAACGTATATAATTTGGGGGGTTTTTCTTGTGGAGTTTAACAAGCTTATGTGTACAAAAAATTAACCCGTAAAAACAAAGTTTTTCACTATAAATCCTTTATATGCGTGTTCAATGGGCCACAACCCAGCCCACATTGGTCTTTAAAACGGGCGGCTAGAGTCCTCTCGTCCTCTGGCTTGAGATGGCTGCCACCTATGGGTCAGATGATTGCCTGCCACCATTAAGCAATTGGTAATTAAATATAAAAAAAAATTACCTAAAAAGTGTAAAATTTGGGAAAAAAATTTTCACGAAAAGAAATTGTCACGCACAACGAGTCTGTGTGCAAAATGTCAGCTCGATTGGATCACGGGAAGTGGGTTAAAAAACGACCGAAAGATTTGCACGGTCGTAAGCGCGCAAGCAAGCAAGTGAACTTAATATAAAGGATTTAAAAATAATGTCAGTGATGAGGTCAACTGCATAAAGCAGCAGATTTGAGAATAGAGCGTGTAAACCTACCGTGGTCTACCAGCCACGCCATGCAGAGAGAGTTGAGTTTTTCGTCAAAAAACTCCACGCCCTGTTGCGATACAAACACAAAATGTCTATAATTGTAGGGAAAACAGTTTGTCACATTATTTTGTAGCAGCCCTTTGGATAATTACAGTTACATCCATCACAACACAAGTGGCGACTTACACAAACCCGGCCGCCTTAGCGGTTTGTGCCAAAAAACATCATTCCAATATTAATCAGAGGGAGAGGACAGGCATTTCTTCACATGATGCTGCTGGTAAACCTGGGATAAATGTTCACTAACTTGGTGGCATGAAGAGCAAGCCCCCTTTCAACAACTATGACAGTCACTAAAAAGGTTAAGAATATATTAAATTAACATTTGCAAATTTGTTTTTAAGCATTTAAGCCACCTATTAACACTAATTAAACTGCTAACCCACAGAAACGAAACCATACAACTACTAACCAACTCATACACACTTTCAGCAAACCATTCACCAGCTCACCAACACATTAAATAACTATATCCATATCCATCCAACTAACCCACAAAATTCCACACCTTCTCATCAATCCACCTACCACCCAATGAATCCACTTACATACTTGTTCACGATTGATAGCGTACACATGGAAAAGAACACCCACTTGGGTTAATTCTCGACTTCCAGGAAAGATTACTTAAAAATATCTTACGTCTCACCAAAAACTCTACCGCTCAATGCTCTAGTCACACGTCAATGTTTTGTGCCCATGGGTTTACCTGACCGAATAGCAAATTTTTCACTCCCCATAACCTCATTAGCACATGCCCTTTACTGTACTACAATGAAAATAGGAAAAGGTTATCCACACCACCACACATTGCTTCGTGGGTGTTTTGCAGCTGCTAAATGTTAAAATGCCAAATGCCTTCCATCCACCCTCGCAAACTCCTGACCACTTCTCTGGTGCCCCCGGGAATTCTGGGTTTCTCAGAAACACGTACAAATTACGCAATCGAGGTTACGCTCCCAAAGACTGAAATCTGTACTTCATATTAATTACATATCGCAGAGTTCATCGGAATTTTTAGTTAAGATCAATCTGTGTATTTAGTGGACGCAATTAGTTATCCGTGGGTAACATTAACATAAATGCATGAGCTCTCTTTAATTAGGCTAACACACTGCATCTGAACTTACACCAAAAGCTAACAATGAAATGCTCATTTGTGAATGTGCCATGGAACTTGATACGCATCTTCAGTATATTAAGCCATGAGCATGGTTATGGCCCTGTAAAACTATTTACATCGTGATGTCAATCCACTTCTGAGTTAGTAATGAGGGCTGTTTGATCGTACTTAACCAAGTTGGCGAGTGTGCGTTGAAGAGGAGAGGGGGTCCAGGACCATTTAAAATATCACTGTCCACGCATAATTATCTGTGGCCAGGAATACAATTCTGGTTGCCAGGCTCTTAGCTCAGTGTGCTAAACACTGCAACACCACTCCTCCCAACTCCCATTACGCTTTAGCACCGCAATGAATACTTCTACACAATCCTGGCTTACATGGCAAACTGTAATTCACATCCTGCATTCAAGGGCATCAATTATTATAACTCCTTTTTATGTTTGGGGCCAATACCATGGCAGCAGCTTTGGGGGTTTGCACTTTTTTATTTATTTAAGTCCACCCATGTGAATTAGTGAAAAGCAGGGGAACACACAGCTTGAGCCGCTCAAATTTAGAAAGTCAGTCTAGCGCTCTAAGGAATGCTACCTCAATCTCAGCTGCAGCTATAAATAGTAAACATAGCCGTAACTGTGATGACGACTGGGAATCCGTTTCCATCTAGAGAATATACTGCATTTATTAATTTATTACCCATGGTGGACGAAGAGATTAGATGGACACTCGCTCAGCAAATTTAAAAAAGGAATGGAAAAAGCGTCTCATCCACCAGGTGTTACCACCAATAGGCAGCTCCAAGCATCGTTTTGAATGAGGTAGCCACATCCGGCCTTTGCTCAAGGCGACACGGGCAGGAAGAGCCCCCCACACCGTCCGCGCCCAAATCAAGCAACCATCGTCACCGTCATCATCCCACGCACTCGACCACACGCTCAACTCACCAGCTGCCCAGCAAGCAGTGGCATGTACTCAATGATGGCCAGGCGAACTCTCCACTTGGTGTCCTCGGCCAGTTCAACGATGGCGGGCAGAAGGGACTGAGAGAGCTGACGAATCCCGATCACCTCATTCACGCAGTCCAGGTTGGAGATGATATTCAGCCGCACTTCAGGGCACTGTGGTGGGGACACACATGCGCGTATGCGCACGAGCCAATGAACACACATGTCAATGGTAACGCCAACATGTACACGTGGAGTCCTTCTAGGCAATTCCACCGCAGGATGAGGGCTTTCCCCAATGCACGTGGGTAACAGAGGTTATCTGAGCGGTAGTGTAGCGGTTAGCGCGCTGCGCTTATGAACCTGGCGACCCGGGTTCGATTCCCGCTCACGGCCAACACCGGTGACGATTATCTGAACCGGTCCTGGGCCTCCCCTAGGTCGACTCGGCCTCAAATGAGTACCTGGTGTGATGCGTCAACATCGCCACTAGGGAGACAAAGGCGGCTGGGCGTGGTGTTGGCCACCCACCCCCTCGTGTACCGTTCCGGCCTTCATAGGTGCTCGCTAACAGCACTTCCCCCTACAGTCTGTTAAGGCTATACGGGGGATCTTTGTCTTTGCTCATACATCACACCCCTTTGGTTAGTGCAGGTTGGTGAAGGTGTAGAGCAAAGATACGGGATCATCGAAGCGCAGCTTAACATAATATTTTGCTGTACTTCCCTCTGCTGCCCATCGTTCATGTTCATGTTTTTTTGTTTGTTGCGGTTGCACCCGATTCAAGAGCCGAATGGCTCACAGGGCTATACCTAATAAATGAACTTTGAACTTTGTGTGGCCCACAGCCGATAACAGCCTGCTTGTATGATGGTCCCCCATCCAAACGCTATCCAGGCTCAACTTGGCTTAGCTTATAAAATCTTGTGAGAGCAGGTGAATTCCGAGCGATCTTGGTTATAAACATAACAGCACCAAGTAACAGTGAAATGTTCTCTTTAAAGAGATTCATAACAAAACAAAAAACTTGAAAATATGGAAAATTTGTTTTGGCAGGGGATTGGATTTCAGTTGAGCATGAAAAAAGCACGAAGAAAACTATAGCCAAAGGCTTCCTGCAATGTTTTTTTTGTTTTTCCAGTTCAGTTTGCTTTGGCAGATAATGGATCTTCTCAAGTTCTCAAGTTACTGTGTTTTATTAAATTGTTGGCTCTAAAAATGTATAAAAATTCATGTTGTAATTTTTATGTCATAATAGCCATATAAGCAGCTAGCCTAAATAGACGTACATCATTCACATACAAAACAACGTATGGGACCAATTAAAAAGTAACAAAATTATCTCAAAGGCCACAAACCTACATGCTCCAACAGCTACTAAAACAGCCCATGGCTTGCTCAGTGCTAATATGCCAAATATATCAGCATCAACAGCCAGACTGTGAACAAGGTTTGGGTTGTAGATATGCTAGATTTGAAGCTTTCGTGACTGCAAGGATTCATACTCTTAGGTTTTTTCGGTAAAGTCACACAAGTAAAAAATAAATAATAAAACTAATAGTAGAAATAAAATAAATCTATTAATATTTCTATAATTTGTATTGCTTATTTTTTATTTTTTACCTACGTGACTTTACCGAAAAAACCTAACAGTATGTAGATATGCTGTTGAACTTCCTTCGCACCGTACGTAGCCATCGATGCCAATCTGAGGTGCGAAAGAAGTTCGGTTATCAAGAATAACTCACGGAGCGAGGAAACTACACGAGGAAACGCCCTCACCTCGTCCTTGAGCTGTGCCAGGAAAAGCGGCAGCAGGTGCTCAATGGTGTTGTCTTTCCCCAGGATGGGGGACAGACCCATGATCACGGATGCCAGCGCCGACTTGACATGCTGGTTCGCATCGGATACCAGTTCCTGCAGAGACGGGGGGAAGCAAGCGTGAGGACTCGTCACAGTATAGGCAGGTAAAAACGTATGCTCCCCGTCACACTTCTTCCCCCAACAAAGGTCATTGACAACAAAGGATTTCCCAACCATCATCGCAGACTTCACCAAAAGTTTCAGAGGCTAATTTGTACCTTGCGACAAAAACGTGCCTTTCACCAAATTAGACAGAATATGCCCGATCTATACATTGCTGCACGGTACTTCTACGCTCTTGCAACTATGCTCCAGGCCTTGACCAACCAAGAATAACCAGCCTGTTGAAGGGATAGTCAAAGAAACCTGCCAAACCACCCCCAGAACATGGAAAGGCCCTCATCCAGCGGTGGAATGACTTGACAAACGGCTGTACGTGTAGCGCGTGTACAAAGGCATAACCCTAATGTCAACATCCGCGGGCGGTTCTGCGCGTGGTCCCGCGATGGGGGTCGTGCGCTCCTTTTGCAAATACACGCATTTCTCACTGGTGCCTAACCCGTGCGGGCGGGGGACCAACACACTACGTGCGCATGGGGTGCCGTTTCCTTGCACACCGTCAACATGCAAGGGGTGCCAGGTACACCTTCCTGGATGTTGCGCCACGTGCAAATTGAAAGGTGCATTGAAATAGAACATGTTGGCTTCAAAAGGGTGGATACAAATTGTCTAGAGCAGCATGCCAAATGTTTTGGTGCCTCCTGTCCAGACGTTACATATTCACTTGCATGAATTGTTAAAATCGGCATTAAACGGGCATCTTTGGAATTGGGGCCCCGTCATGAACCAAATTTAAATGGCTTGATGATTTTAATTTTTTCAATGGAATATTTGAAATTGAAAAAAAAACCCAGTAAATTGCACGCAACTACTACCATTCATTTCATGTTAATATTCTTCTTTTTTCAGGTACATCTCATAATACATCCTTCAAAACAATTATGCAACTTATAAAAACTAAGAAGAATATGACATTTTACAAAAATACCAAACAAGTTGAAACAAAAAGATGTAACAAGTTAATGTGCAGCTCCCTCGGCAAAGACTGTAAGTTGCAAGTATAGGTCAAGTTGAAAAAAAATCGGTCACAAATGACATTTTAAATATCAGCTGTTGCAAAAGATAGATCCTACAGCACTTTAAACCCATGACATTACATTTGAGAGCTCTGAAGCCTGGGAAAGGACAGGCGTGGGTGTACAAAGAGGTATGCGCGCTGTGAAATAGAGTCCTCCAGTGATGTCACCATCAGAAGAATTTAAAATATGTATTCCTCCATGGCTCACATCCCACACACAACCCACGCCATACACTACTGCCTACACCCAACTATAAAGCTTGCAAGAGAAGAAAAATCAGGCACGTGACCTCTTGGGGAGTACTAATTAAAACATCCGCAGAAAAACCATGTGAATGCTTGTGCCTAACTAACAATGGATGCCATGAAAACTTGCAACAAGCTTAAATAAACTAAAAAAATGCATGTGCCATTTTAAACAAGCGGGCAGAACAAAACTAATTTACCTCTATGATCGAACAGTGCATTCCCTAGCCATGCTAAAGGTATGGAATGGAAGTAAAATTACTCCAGTGCATCTATTCATCAGAAGATGATTTCCAGTTGGTACAGTCTACAATGGGAGGTTCTGATAACAGATAAGAGCGCAGTCACCTTATGCACTATATTACGACTTTCAGCAAAGTTATTGTGCAATTGTCAGCGTTTTGCACACGTACAGGCTTTAATCACAGCGATGTCCCAGTATATAAACCTGTGACGCTAAAAGAAAGGGAGTATCACAACGACTTAAAACAAATTTGAGCACAAAAAAACCCATTTTGAGGTAGTCCATGGGGGAAAAAAACGATTTGCGGACATGGCGACAAACTATAAATTTGAAGCCGTGAAAGAAATTAGATTTATGTCAAAGCAACATCATCAGCATTAGAGCACTAAGAAGGCACTTACACACCATTCACTTTGCTGATACCTCCTGATTTTATTAATGAGCACAGGAAGTAGGGCAAGGCTATGCCAATCAAATGAAAACCATATTGAAATGAAAAAAATATATAAATTCTCATTCATTATTAGTCATCGTCAATAAGGGAATCATAAAGTTATTAAAATTACGTTGCTAGCTTCTTTTTCACAAGCGACATGCCCGCAAACGACAGCTCAACAAAAGTGGCTTATGTGGGAATGGCAAAAAATAACCAAAATAATCTCAACGCATGTTTGAAACTAAAACTTACACCCTACGCTGAAAGTGGTCTCAGATAAAGGCAGTTAATGTTGTACATTGCACAGCACACAACTGAACACAGACCTGGCATTAGCCCACATCCGAGAAATAACAGTGACCCACTCAAGAATCCAGCCGCCTGATGTATTTTACGAGATGGCACCAGATTACACAGGGTGCTGACGCAAATCGAGTCTCTCAAGATCCCATTGAATGCAGAATCTCAGCAACCGCTGACGCATTTGCGACCGCCGCTTTTCAAAATGCGTTTTAGATTAAAAATGTAGATACAACTTGTTGGCCTTGCCAAAACGACATTCATATAAAAAATGTAAGATGACAAATTGTACTCGAACATGACATTAAATTTACATATATTACTTTCAAACTGCACACTTAAATATGATACAAAATAACATGTAAAACCACCACCACCACCACTTGGGAATTAATGATTTTTAAGCATTGTTCTGCAAGAGATAACCCATGTCAGACAAGAGGCATATTTTGGTCAGCAGAAGGTTGTCCTGGAATGTTACAGCTACAGCCAGCCTAGGAGGCCTGCCAGTTATACAATACCAAAGAATACCAGGCAGTGATCAAAGCAAAGTGGCTCAAGCTCTCTGGACACTTATCTTAGTGGTCAATGGAAATCTAATCAGATTACAAGCAACCGGGGTAATGGGAAATGCGCACAATCATGACCACCCCTGTATTGAATGTCATTGCTACTGTGGAAGAAGCGTTACATGTGGCGTGCGTGATGAGTCAAGGTCAGTTCACACACCTTTGTTTCCTTCCTTTGTTAGACGTTATCAAGTGTTCCAAATAAATTGTAAATGTTTTTTGGTGATGTGTGCATTAACGAATGGAGACCAATGTGACCAGGAGGGTAATGCCAATGTCAGGGTATTTACTCAGCACCAATAGTAACCCATGTTCAACATCAGGGTTATAGCAAGGCGTACCAGTAGAGTCGCAGTATTTTAGCAAAAGCACTTATAGCTTCACTGAGAAGCTAGTCTCAATTTGAATTTCACTTCATTCAGGGAAAAATATATCACATCTACTCAAAGGTGTAAAAAAACATGTAATTTCCTACAAAGACAAATAAAGCATTATGTAAACAGCATCAAGGGAGGCCCAAATTTGCGATCATGGAGTTTGACAGTTGTCAGTGGGATGCTTCTGGTGGGCATGCTTGTCATCAAATTTTTTTGCAATTGGACAAATAAAACGTCCACATATTGGAGTGGAGCGACCACGTGAGCATACCTTGACACAAGGCAAGATGTTCGACATGATGACGCTTTCTTGGCAGTCCGATGGCAGGTTTTCGCAAAACTCTGTAACGCAGATTTTTCCAGCCCATTAATGCCGTTTCACAGTGTCCTTGCCATTTCACATAGCTTCGAGCACAACAAAACTAAACCGCAGTCAAAGCCTATCTGCTATAAAGTGTCCATGTTTTAAATGAGAATTAGAATGCCAACCTATTTCACAAATTGCATTTATTTAATTCCATGTGGAATTACATTTTAGGACACAGAAAAATATGAAAACGTTCAGACTGTATTTATGATGACCTTGTGAACATCGGAAAGAGCAATTGGTTTAATTTAAGACCAGCCACTGACAAGAATGTTATACTTTCAATGGTTAGTGATTTGCACTCAAGTAATACAATCCCTTAATTAAGGTCTTACAAGTAACCCCACTATGGGGAAAAATAAATCAAACTCAGTCTAAAGCTTTGATCTAATTTAGTAACATTCTAAATATACCTGATTGTCCAAGATTTTTAAGGTATATAAAATCACAAACTCCACTCTGCTGGAAACCTAAGAGGCATCACATTTTGACTGCAGGTACGAATGGCATACACAGTGCATTTACCGACACTTTACAAGCTTCACAAGCCTATATCCAACAAAGCAATAGCATGGAAATTACCCCATGGACATTACTATACTCCTGCGAGTTAAAGCATCGCCGGGAAGAAATGAAAACCAATTCTCGGCATAATATTGTAATTATATATTTTTCGATGACATGGAAGTCGTATTGACGAATGCATTATTCAAGTGCTAAAACCTTTGACAGCACGAGTAGTACATCGAATCGGAGCAGTGCATGCCACCCCACTGAGAGCAAGGAGTCTTCATACCTTTCACTTTATGGGCTGCAGCAGCCCGCACTTCGGCCTCGCAGTCCTTCAGCAGGTTCTGGAAGGCGGGCACTAGGTCCGTCTTTGTAATCTCTGAACCAACAGCTTTCTGAATCTGAACACAGGAGAATCAGTGAAGGCTTTGTTTAAAACCAGGCGAGAGCCCGTTGAGACAAAGTCGTTATTTTAAGGGAGATACGAGTCGCAAAAGTAATGCAGTAAACATAATCAAACTTAAAAAACGGTGTTATGTTAATAGAGAAAAGAACATAAATGTATATAAAACGTGATTTAATAACAATGGTGTGGTAGAACATTTAAAATACAACTTCAATTTATGTAAACTGCATTTTAAATGGAGCTATGTTTCAAAAGAACTGCACTTGTACTGAAAAAGCTATTATTTCAATAGCCAGTTAAAAACTGGTATGTTAGTATTATAAAGTAAGTACTGAGGAGCAAAGAACTAATTTAAAGAGATTTTTTTATTCTCAGGTAAAGACTAAGAACAAATGATCACAGCAGACTATTTCACCATGCTTGTTAACAGTGTTTTTATTAAGTTGCATCAATCTGTGGTTCGTGGGGTGTTGCATGTCAATTTAACTTACAAGAATAAACCAACCACACTTTCTGAGTGATAATGATAGATGCATCCAACATCACCGTTCGATTTCATGCAATTCACACCAGTTTGGTCAGGTCAAACACAAGGTAGCATATTTTTCAATACCCTGTGAAATTAACTCTCACCAATGCACAAACGGAATTATCTTTCAGAATTGTTCAATGTGAAATTGTTAAAATGAGGATTTATTTTGAGCAGTGCTCCAGCCACATGTTTACACACAACTGCAACAGCACTAACAATGAATCGAAATTACCGCTTTCATGATCAGGTTTTGCACACATTAAACATGCCTCAAGCTCTTAATCAATATTTTCCTGAAATCTAAACGCCCAATTAGCACGGATGGCTACGGACGGTGCGAAAAAAGTTCAATATACATACACACACACACACGACATCGCAGACTCCTAAGAAACTCTGTATATGCTAAGAAATCCCGCTCTGCGAGGGGTTGGCACCTCATTAAACTTGTCCGCCACCATGTAGCGCACGCGCCATGACTTGTCTTCGGCTGCCTGTCGGAGTGTGGGCATCACCATGGCCTCTAGGTCTTCAGCAGGGAGGAGTGAGGCAATATTCACACATGCCTCCACGGCCAGCAGGCGCACAGAGTCCTGCACACCCACGTACGTGTCAATATGAGACCACTCAAAACCCGTAACACACGTCTGGACGAGGAATCCACAATTTTACTTGAAAATCTTTCTGGCTGGATTGTGTGTAATGTATACATGTTAGCGTGAGTTTTCTTCGGGTACTCTTGTTTCATTCCCACGTAACAAACATTCATTAAAAAGAGATTGGTCGAACCTTACAATGCAGGACCATTCCTGAAAAAAATTGCTCTCATACTCCAAGAGGCTAACCCAATAAAAAGGAAAAAAAAATTGTTTTAATATGTTTGCCTTCCCAACAATTGTTTTTAAAAGACCAAATTAAAATTAAGTTATCATTATTAGCATATTTGGAACAGTGAGCAGCTTTACGATGAATGCAAGGAACATTTTATCCCTGATAAGTGCAAAATAATTGGTTGGTCACCTTGAGGCAGAGTGAAACCATTCAAACAGTGATTCAGGTCTTGTCCACCTAAAACCACCGAGGCTAAAATGTGCTTGCTCTTGAGTAAGTCGTCTAAAATAAGGCTGTGTGTATTATTGACACAGTAGGGTGATGTCACGTGACATACAAATGAAGATGGGAGGACCGCTGGTCACAATCACCCTTTGTGTGTATATATAATGACTGTTGTTTGAGAAACCTGTTCATCGGATGCGAGGTTGTTGAACATTGGGATGACGTCGTTCTTAATGTAGTCAATCTCCAAGACTTTGGCAAACTCTCCCAGCTTGGAGGCCGCAGCACGTCGCACCATCGGAGTATCATCCCCACAGAGGTTGCGGAAGTGTCTGCGATGGCAAAGATGAACGGGCACGGTGAGGGGACAAACATTTGGCGCGTGACAAGAAAAAACATTTACCCGTTAAAACAAAGTTTTTCACCCTAAATCCTTTATATGTGTGGCGGCTAGAGTCCTCTCGTCCTCTGGCTTGAGATGGCTGCCACCTATGGGTCAGATGATTGTCTGCCAGCATTAAGCAATTGGTAATTAAATATTTAAAACATTTTCCCTAAACAATGTAAAATTTTGGAAAAAAAAATTCACGAAAATTAATTGTCACGCACAACGAGTCTGTGTGGAAAATGTCAGCTCGATTGGATCACGGGAAGTGGGTTAAAAAACGACCGAAAGATTTGCACGGTCGTAAGCAAGCAAGCAAGCAAGCGAACTTAATATAAAGGATTTTAAAAAATCCCTGCGAATTTACTCGAGCTGTTTCTGGGCATGCTCAGCAGAAGCGTGGCTTCACTGTCTTAAGGATCTTACTATTGCATTAACAGAAACTGTACTATATTGTATTATTATTAAAGCTTTCTTTTAATTGTGACATGAAGCTAGTACAAGAAGCTGTGATCAAATCTGCACGTTTAGACAAATGGTTACAGGGACAATTACCGCCATCGCTATTAAAACATTCTAATTCACAGGCATTTGTTAATCCACTGATGGACAAAGGCCTCTCCGAGGGCTGTGTGACAAAGCATCAGCTTCCTTGCGGATGTGGGGGGGGTGGAAGGGTGAGGCAAAGGATTGGTTCAGATACGACTCTAGGCTGATGTTGGCCATTACTAGAAATTGGAATCTGCTTTGCTCCGTTCACTGCAGTGGACAACTCACTGAGCCTCCACTCGACACCTTTTAAAGGAACAGGCAAAGTAAAAAAACAAATAGAAAATCAATTATCATTTCAATAGAATTCGACTGTATATCTTGGTGCTCTGACATTCGTTCAGAGATTCCTTAATGAGAATAACGGCTTGTAAATCAGTCATGCAAGTTGAAATCGTCTTAATACTTACGGGAGTGACACTCAGTTGCCATAATGACGCACTTGAACTTAAGTGCAAAGTCTGTTTTCTCATTAACAGAGCTTGTGTCAGATTGGGACTTAAATCTTAGTTGCATTTGTACATGCTAAGAGATATGTATTGTTTAACAGCTTCCTTTAGTGTAGTAGTGGGTAACCTATTGCCCACGGAATGGATAGTTTGTAACCTTAATTCATGTGAGCCACCGATCCACGAGGTTTACCAACTCGAAATGGCCCACAAGTAATATTTATTCGTCACTACAAGCATCTTATCCACACTGCAAGAGGGGATTTTTTTTTCTACCTGGAAACACTTTATAATTTTAGAGCGTCTTGCATCGGCAAGAGCGTTGCGTGTGCTTGTGTGTGACCCAGCAAATGATTTGGGCGTCAGTAAGGGTAATCGCCGCTTTAGCTACAAGCCACGGAATAGGCTTTCACACACACACACACACGACCACACGCGCACAAAGCACTCACTGCCGGAGTTCGGCCTTGACGGCATTGGAGACCCTGGGGTAGGCCACACTGAAGAGGCCGCACGCAGAAGTGCGGGACGTGAACCAGTCGCCACTCGCCAGGCGCTTCACTAGCGGCACGAAGTGAGCCTCCAAGTCTGCGGGCGAGTGCTCGGCAGAGATGGCCCGCAGCGACTCCACCGCCTTGTCCCTCACCACCGTCTCCTCCACCGTGGCCAGGCTCTCCAGCGGAGGCTGCTCGCACACACCCACGCGCATCCCCGTTAGCCTCCCACAGGTGCCGTGAACAACGCTACGAGCCGCATCATCAATCAATTGATCCGGTGATGGGATTAAGGCCTGAACACTTCGTTGCCATCGCTTACGGTCATGCGATGATGTAATCTTCCAACTTGAGGAGCACTTTTACAAGAAGCGATTTTGTCACTTCATCTCTATGGTGGACGTCATTTAGGCACGTTCTCTCGCTAGGCTACCATGCCATCTTTATCCACATTCATTTTTATGTTTGCCAAAAAAGTTACGTGAAGAAACTGGCTTTGAAAATGTGCTCATATTAGAAATGTTTTTTTACATGTCTGGAAAGGAACATCATTAGAATTATATTTTGACACTTCTTAAGGAGTACATGTACTAGAATGTTTATGTTCACTATCAAACATGTTGCCTATCCAGGCGGAATCTAATAAAGAGCCTTTTGGCCAGTGTGTTCACCATTGAAGCTCTCTGATCATTTCAATGCATCCACTGTCGTGTCTGGCAATGGTCAAGGTACCATGATAGACATCTTCCAAGTAAAGAATTGCATGCAAGTGTTAGGATCCAAATATTCTATATCCACACTCGTAATCATTGCAAAAAAAGCTATTCCCTTGCAGGCAATTGATCCTGGTTTCGGATCAATGGATTTCATCCAATTGAAAGACCGAATAAACATTTTCACATCCCTTCAATTCAGAAGAACCTAATTCGGGCCAAGTTAACACTCATGGGAGTCGGATTCTGGATTTGTTTTTTCTCAGTGCAAAATGTCTTAAAAGCTTAAAATGGCATAAATTAGGAAGCAAAATATGCCTTCTCAAAAAATCACTGCGCAATTTAGGGCAACTTTCAGGTGAATCAATTTGATTTTAAATTACTGTTTAAACCTTTTCTGATATTGAAGCTGCATATCACAAAACATTATCACTGTTAATTATACGACTTTTCAAACTGATTGGTCAGATAAGTAATGCCTGTGGCACATTTGTTTCAGTGGGCTTTCAACTCTTCCATTCATCACCTTGGGTTTTATTTTTTTTAAGGTAAATAAGCAAATGCAGAAAGAGACTGACAAATGCATCAGTAACCAAGTCACAAGGTACACTTGGATTAAAAGCAACCGAGCCTTACAGGGAGTTTAAATTGGACTGACAGTGCTAATTAATCCACTGCTTTTTATCTCACACAGCAGATGCCAAACATTCCAATTAGCCAAAGTAGATTGTGAATTGCTTACAGGGTTTTATTTAATACCTTAAGGTCAAAAAAAAGAATCAAACGCATGAAATATTAACTCATCAAAATAATGACAAAAATACGTATGGAACTTTCGCTACCAAAAACCCAAATGTCTATCGTCATCTTTGCATCGGACTCATCATTAGTTAAGTTTTGGTAGAATGGCAGTGTAAATCAATAGGAATAATATATACAAATTTATGCACAAGTGAATGTCTCGCTTTACATCGGTGCACACTACAAACTATGTGTATTAATGCTGCGCCTTACATTCATATGGTGATTGTATTTATAATTACATTACATGAAAGTCAGTTCAAAGAGCTGGTTGGCTCAGGAGGTGACTTCCATGTCGAGGCTACGACAGCCCATCTGAAACACCTTGGACTCAAATCCTTTAAGGGGGACAAGAAAAAATGAGAGACTGTCGTTCCCATTCTAGAAATCTACATGTTCAGCTCGTTTGACATCGAGTTGTACAGATTTCGGCATATGCCTTGCACTGCTATGCCTGAGCACTCGATATTGCCAATCTGTCATTACAGATTCACAGAACAGTTGCAGATTTTTCCACCAGAGACACTGGTCTCTTTCTGAAGATCCCGACAGCCACACACGGCTATCTTAAACCCACCTCAGCCACATCACGCTGAGCGAAATCTGCACCGAATTCATCCATTTACACAAGGCAGCCCCATAGTTTCCAAACAGTAAGAAAGGATAATATGCTATGGTACAGGCAGGCAGAAGAAAATGAGCTCCTAGCACACAGGGACAACAAGAATGGTGCTCACCAGCAGACAATGCACATACTCGGGCCCTCCGACCAGCGTGGTGAAACTGCCCAGTTGCTCAGCCAGAGCCAGCAGCACCTCATCCTCATCATAGATAGTGTCTGCACAAAGACAAAATACAACAGGGCCAGGACGGCCATCAGCTGCAAACATAATCCACTTCAACACAATAATGATGTTTTGGATCAACGTGCAAATATTCAGACGTGTGACCTTCCTGCAAAGAAAAGCATCGAATATAGACAAAATGATCAAAAGCTGCACGCAAAAATTAGTGAGAATGAAATGCGAATGAAACCTTGATCCAAGCACAATTCTAACATAGAAATGTAATTCAAGGATAATAAATATTTTATTCAACACCTTTTATTAAAACATGTGAGCTTCACAAACAGCATACTCTTCAGATAACTTACTTGAAATTTAAGCAAACACCCCCATCATACGTACATTTTAGAATTTAATTTTAAACAAATGTCACTAAACACGATATACAGGTATAGTGGCCAAGAATATTGCTGATGGTTGCATCTAGAAGCAGACAATGACTCTTCCCCAGAAAGAGCTGCCTTAAATCAGGACCCAATGATAACAAGAAGTGCTATGCTCCTCAGACCAGTAATTCTGCATTTACGTCATTATTTAATGTGCGGGTGTACCATGGAACACAGCAAAGCAGTCAACGTATTCGGTTTCCCTGTAATTCAAGGATTACAGATAAGCTAAATCCAGCACCACAAAATCTTTAACTAGCTCGGAATAACCTCACACAGTAAAAAAGGACGCCAAACACTTTAATCAAACAAGGCTGCATTTGTTCATAAATGACTGAAATTGGTAGATCTCATAACATACAATTTTTGAAATCTTAACTTTAATGGCTTGCATATGGAAACTTTTGGATTTATGAAAATCCCTTTTTATGTTTTGATGCATTCATGCATATACATGTAAAGCCCTTTGTCAATCCACTGCTGGGCAAGGGCCTCCCTATGCTGCATGGATTGCAGAGATTATTCAACCATACCTCAACCAAGCTCGCCACTGGGATTAAGTAGAGAAGAGGAACATTAGTGGGAGCCATAAAAATAAAAGTACAAAACATTTTTACGCAGTGGCCTCTGCTGCCCACCATATAATCGCAGATTATAATACCCGTTATGAATGGTGGTCATCCATCCAAGTACTATCAAGGATCATGACTGCTTCGCTTCCGAGGTCTAGCAAGATCGAATCTATTCTGTGCGATTTTATAATCGGCGCATTCATGCAGAACACAAAAAACAAACACCCGTTTTTTAGAGAGATCATGTTTGCTTATCAGAGTTGCTGGTTTTCACCTGAGGACGGATACTTGCGTTGTGGCCGAAACGTCGTGAAAATTATTTTATTATGTTTTATTTTTATTATTTTATTACTTCCCTTCTACGTGACTTTACCGAAAGAACCAAGAAGAAGGGTTGGGGACTTAAAGGAATCGAGGCATCATAATGGGTCTGGCTACTCGGAGCTCTGCAGGGCATTCAGGCAAGAAGGGAGGGTCCATGGGGTCTGGCAGGCCAAGTGGAATCATATGGTCGATACCGATGTAATATATTTCAATGATGATTCTCATACAGATTGACCGATACTGGGGCCAATACGAGCTATTAAACCGCCAAGATCCATGAATGAAAGGACTAAGCAAAGGCTATACAAAGAGCATCTAAGTGTACGGCCTAATATATACACAGGGCAATTCATGTACATGTATCCTTGGCCAAAGCCTCATACTGTATATACACAGGGTAGCTACGTGTCTATGTAGCCTTGACGGCAGCCTTGCATCGTATACAAGGGGTACAATCCATGTATATACAGCCTTGGCTATATATATGTAGCGACTGTGTATGTCACTGTGTGGTGCTGGGTTTACGAAGCCACGGCGGATAATGTGTTGGCATTACGTGTAGCCTGCTTACTGGGCGTAGTACCAGCCCTAGCGGGGCTTGGGTGAGGGCTGGTCAGCGCGGAGGCACCACGTACAGTGTGCCGTGAGGGAGCGAGAGGGAGCGTCAGCCAGCCAGGGTTACGTTGGGGCATGATACGCTGGTTGACCAGCTGACACGTGACCGGATAATATTGGAGGGGGGCCACCGGTGGACGGGGCCGCTGGGCGGTCATGTGGTATTAAAGAGCTCTTGGGAGCCTTCGGGAAAGAGCCAGAGAGATCTAGAAGGTGGGTGGGGCGAGGGGCAGAGCCAGCCCCAGCAGATATAACAGGGCCCCGCGAGGGGCGAGGGGTTCTTTGTGTTGCTGGTGATGAAGATCCACGTCGGGTAAAAGAAGCCTCTAGCCACGCGGTCCGGGACCCAGCTTGTGGTCCGGGCCGGGATAGCGAACCGTGTCTAGTTCTGCCGTAGCGTGGCTAGATGGGCGTTCAGCACCCAAATGTAGGTTGTGTTATGTTGAGTTACTGAAGTATATAGTGTTGCTCCCAAGACAACGTCTGTGACTCAGTTGGACTCACTACATATATATAGACAGGGAAGCTACATGTACATGGCTATACCCATACATCCTCTGTACATCCTGATCACTCGTGTGTGTGGGCAGGATGCTTAGGATATTTATGTAGGCTGTGGGCCTTCCTTTTTTGACTGAACACAACACTAGAACACCAGGGTGGAATTGGGCCAATTCTGCACACTAGGCATTGATAACACATTTCAAATTGAGATATTGGCCACCAGGAAACAGTCAGAATCGACATTCTGGCGATCTGGAATAAGGAATACTTACGTAGGATAATGCTTAGCTACATTAAGCATAAGCTAAGCCTTGCAAAGCTACATTTGCAAAAGAATGGCAAAGGACATGTTTTAGTGGGCACATCTTTCATGATAAAATCCCTGTAAGATTAATGGAGATTTTAACATGGAAAAAACCAACAGATGCATCACAGTTCTTGCAGCAAAGTAACAGCACTAACTAGAACGATATTTTGATTACAGTTATCACACCTGTAACATGAATTAGAGGCAGTAAAAAGGTCTTTCACAAGTGCAAAAGTCAACAGCATTCCTTTGTGCCTATGCAAGTCTACAATATACATATAACAGATGGGAAAATACGCAAAAAACACGTCCAAAACAAACCCTCCACTCCATTCCGCAGGCAAGCTCGCTGCCTCATTTCACGGTCAGATGCACTCAATTATGTACTTGCGTCAATCTGTGATGCAAACTGCACAGTTAGAGAGACCACCTGGAGCAACGCACGTCAGAAATGCGGCACGAATGAAATGAGGACAACGGTTCACACAAAGGCAAAATGGGTGCATGCAGACGGGTGCCTGGGCATGTACTTGGATAACGGAGTTGGTCCCACAAAATGTCACCATGAGGCAATCCTCAAATTGACACGTTCTTCTTTTGTAACAAAAAATGTACGGTTAAACAAACTCATTGCAACAAGCGGCAACACGTTTCTAAAACGGTTTGATCCAATGGAAAAACTGCAGAAAATACTGAAAAAGACATGAAGATACGCGTACATGCAAATAATCAGAATCTATTCATTTGAGAAATCCGATGATCTATAAAGCTCTTTTTCAGAGATGTCCAGTAGTGGCGGGTCAGAAAGTTACTGAATGAGGGCCCTCCCCACATCATGTGGGGGTGCAAGGCTTTTTGGACCACTCTTTACCGTGCTGCTCAGTGTGGGTTGGTGAAAGTGAGGATAGACATTGGATAATGGTACAGCCCATCAATGATTTGTTTGTGCACTTTCCTCTGCTTACATAGCCCTGTGGTTATTCATGGTGGTCACCCGTTCAAGGGTTCTACAAACTCAACCTGGCTTAGCTTAAGACATCTTACGACACTGGGCGATTTGATCACAGGCTAAAGACACCTTTCAGTGTTAACATTTAATTCACGTATTGGAGTGGCTTTCTCCACCTGAAAATAGTTATCTGCAAATGTTAAATCAGTGCTTACATGTTTAAAAATAACAAAATAAAACTCTCAAAAACCAAACACGTTGGAAATATTAACTAAATGAAATCCAACAAAAACTTGTTTCAAACCTTGACAAACTCACACAGGGCACATTTAAGATATATCTATCGTGTAATCCTAGAACATTAACGTGTATTATTTTTTGTTTGCAACTGTAAACACCCATTTGTACTATGCCCGACAGTTAAATAAAACCTAGCAGAGGATAAGATCAACTATAAACAGGAGCCTAACAATATCTCTGTAATGATATTTCATAAAAATTTTATTTAAAGCTTTCGTATTATTTTATTATTTCCCTTCTACGTGACTTTAACGAAAGAACCAAGAATATGATATTTCATTAGCCAACGGCTGCAAAAGGAGTAAAATAAAAGCGTTATTCTCAACGTACTCCTGAGTGGTCAAGGAACTTATGTAGTCCTGTTTAATATCTCTACTAATTTTGACAATCTGCACTCCATATTACATTTGCCATGCATGAACTCTGCAATTACTACTGTTTGCCAAGTTGACATCACACAACTGTTCATGCTTGTACAAACATATTTTGTTGAAACATTAAGAACTTACATTGAATATGTAATGGAACAGCTAAGGTATTTGGTGATGTAACACAAGACTTTATATGGCACTCAACAGAACTTAGTGCAGCTACAGAGACTGCAGTACACTCTTAAAATGACTGATACGACATTCGCAAGCCTGTCCTCTTTCAAACATTCATAACACGAGTGAACAGCAACCTTGGCGCAATACAAATTGGTTACAGGGTGTCTAGACTATAAAGCTATAATATTTTAGAGTGGACTTTTGTTCACCATCATGTATGGTGAACCGAGGTGTAAACAATGCCAAGCGTTCCCCTGGTATCATTTAGTTACTTTTGTTTGCTACTCACAACAAAAAGAAAGAATGGGGTCAAAGGGACAAGATCAAAATGGCACCACACACTGTCACAAGAAAGTGCAGGCTTAAAGATTACGTTTTAAAAAGGAACATATTGCAAGCAATAAACGTATTTCATGGTTAAAAGACTGGAATTTACAACATATCCATAGCTGGTAATCAGTTGTAATGCCAAAAGAATATTAGTTAAACACATGACTTCAACTGATTTTTTTTTACATTAAAATTAAACTCTGGAAGTCTCATGAGGTCTTACAACTCCAAAAACGAAAAAAGAGAAATTTCCAAACAAGAGCATTCAAAAAATTTGAACCTGGTTGCAATTTAATGCTCGAATTAACCACGGATTTTTCAAGAGCAACCCCAAGTATAATGTAGCCAATGCATAAGACATGAATTACATGGAAAACTAATGTTCGTTCAATTCATCACATCTGAAACACCTGGTGCACTCCACACGGGAACAGGGCGAGATTCAATCATCCCTCGAGCGTTTTTGACTTTTCTGTCAAGGTCACCACTGGCGTCTCGGGCTGTTTCCAGGCACCGTGGCCAAAGAAAACATGTCATTTGGCCACATGTTATTACACTGTAACATTACACATAATGCATGGTAATAGCAGCCATCTACGCATGTGCTCACCGGTCAGGAAGGGGATGAGCTCACTGCGCGTCCTCTCCACTCCAAGAGCAAGGGCGATGGTCGACAGCTTTTTGATGCTGTTAAGACGCAGCTGTAAGGGAAAGACAAGCCTCCTGATTAGGCCCTTTCAGATGTCACCTCCAATTAAGTCAAAGAAAAAAAACTACAGATTCTACAAAAGGTAACAAACATTCCGGCCAGACTAATGGCAAGTGTGTACTGGCTTTCACAGTCGCAACAAACTGATTAATGACTCGAGAATGTGGCAACAAAAATTTTACTTCGGTCTATAATTGTAGAACATTGACATGTGTCAATGACCAAATCACCCAGAATACACCTGATCTCATCAGATCTTGGAAGCTAAGCAAGTTTGAGCTTAGTGTGCTTGGATATATCACCAGGCATAACAGGTGGAAATGTTTGTGGGACTACGCAGTGGGCAACAAAGGACAATGCAGGAAAATCCATTGTTGTACTATACCTCTATGGCCCCCTATCTACGCTCCCTGCCATCACGAACTCACACTGACAAACGTGGTGAGGGATGGTCAAATAACCACAATGACCTACGCTGCGTGTGGAGACACTCATCAAGCAATGGACTGAAAAATTGCTGTACATGTTGAAGTAGTGTTTGTAGGAATAATGCTTAGCCCGAGTGAAGGTCTGCCGTTGAAAAAAACCAACACTACACAGGAGGCCATTTGCATTCATTTTCAGAATTTGGAAATAAAGTCAAATCTGCTATAAATATATTAAAAGTAATAAAATTGCATTTCTTATGATGTACCGTAACATTCCAATATTTATTTGACAGTTTAACACATTTATAACAAGCTGTGAACGTTTGCAATGTCCAACGGTACCCGAGTTATGAGTCGAACATAGGCCCTTCTTGCTGCGAGGCACAAGCATAACCATTGCACCACTGCCGCCCAGTTTGTTTTGTCTGGAATTTAACGTGGCTGCCAACCTCAGGCTCACTTTCATATAAATACATTGTTGTGTTACCCTGACCAAATTCATTAACATCGTAATGTCCATTTAAATATACAGCATTGCACTTCTCTGCAAATTTACAAACTTCAAGATTTATTTTTTATTCAATGGATGGTACAAGTTTCCCTCGCTCTATTCGGTAGATGCGTGGCAAAAACAAAAGGGCGCACAAGAGCAAACTCAAACCGCATATAGCGAACTTTGGATAGAAATAGATTGGCCGCATGTATGCAAAAATCACACAAACCGAACCCTCCAAGTGAGGGAAACCTGTACTCTGGTGCACTGTAAAAACTCTTTCAGCCTCAGGTGAGAGGTTCTACACCGATGCATAATTTCAAGGTTACAGGAAAGTAAGCCAGTTCAGTTCACAAACTTGGCTGGTGGACAATTTCTGGGTTCCCAAAACAGCCTTATCATTTCTGACCCAAAATCACATGGGCTCAAGGACCAGGCCCGTCTGATTGTGGCTCCCAAATGAATGCAATTTCTCTCAAGCCACCGTCAGAACCAGCAGTGATGACTATTGCAGGGAGTCACGTTCTGAGGATACAGGAGGGAATTTACAGTGCTGAAAAGGGAATCAGGATTTCCAGTATGATTTGCAATCACAGCACAAGTCTGATTTTGACCGAGGCGAAATTTTCTAGATATGACTGTAACTCAATGACAGATTTCTTCCATGACCTCAAGCCTTTAGCGGTGTTGTTATGCAATTGGCACAACACTTTACCAAGCAATGCCCCCATTAACCAATCTCCCAAAACAGGGCATGCCTATGTAATAAGTACTATACAGGGATGCATGTGGCATCCACATCACATTACTACATCAATGTGCTACACAACAGCGGTCGTTTACATAAACCACCTTGGCCATTTTTTACTTTAACTTATAGTGCTCAAAATTATATGTAAAAACATTTTTAAATGTGTTTATTGACCTAAGCATGGGTTAATAAGACTTGGGTAAGCAAAATCTGCCACTAGAGTTTTTTTAACCCTGAATATATATACAGCAGAGAACCCTATTTTATTACATATTGAAGTAACCATCTCGTATTTTAACAATACACATTTACATGCAATATCCTGTGAAAGCACTTGACTGTTGTTTCATCTTAATATACAATTTGCTTCAATTCACGTATGCTTTCGTTTTATTGGGTTACTGAAAACCAAAGCAGGGATCTATACACAATGGGGGCATATCAACTGGAACAGTAATTCAAGTTGACATTCATTGGTACAGTATCGCGCTTTTTAAAAGACTTGTAAAACCAAGATGGCTAAAAAGTCTACACCGTAATTTTTTTTCCGTCATAAGCTGAATCTTTATTTAATAGGGAGGAATCTGATGAGCTATGAAGCTCTTTTTCAGAGATCCAGTAGTGGCAGGTCAACAAGTTACATCAATGAAAACATACAATAAAGGATACAAGAGTAAGATAGAGAGGAAAACGTGAAGCAAGTCAGGAGTAAATATAAAGCATGTTAGTACAAAATTGCACTCGTATATGAATTGCTGCAAATTAATCAAGAATGCACGCTTGGGCAAGGCAGCAATGCAACAACCCAACATTACATTGCACTTTATAATTGAACTATAAATACATGAGTAAGGTTCATAGTTTTAAATTACACTTGCAAATGTGGATGAATCTGGCACACATGCTCTGTTTAACGGTATTTTTAAAGGAAGATTTACTTGGCGAAGGGAGGATACAAAGTTATTCCAAAACGTCGGTGCTGCAACGACAAAATGTCACCTATTCCAATTCTTGTTCTAGAGATCTTAGGTTTCTTGGGTTTGACAATATTGTGATTGAATTAGCCAAGTAGCACGCAGATTTGCCAATAAGGATGTTAAAGAAGGCTGTAGGCCAATCAGTTTCAAAGACAATGCATATATTATCAGGGCATCTTTGTTTGCATGTTAACCACAAGTTGATGGTTACTGCGAACTTGATTCCTTGCAAAAAGTTTTTGTTTGGCGTTTGAACATCTCAAATATTTTATTGCCAGAAAGGGTTAAACCTATTCTTATTCATCATACTTTGATACTAGCATAAAATGACCCACAATAAACATACGTTCTTATTTTTTGTTAATTTACCAATGGCAGTGGTTTAGTGACCAGCACTGTGAACCCAGCGACCTAAGCCCGATTCCCAGCCATGGCTAACAAGTGAGGAATGACATTTCAACCAGGAATGGACAACCACACTGACCTCCACAGTGAAGTTATGATCAATCATGGTAACAGATGGCATGGAGGCCTTCAACACGGTATACTGTATTTACAAAGGATGCAGAACTGCTCATGAAATAAATTAAGGACGCTGTAAATGAGAAAAGAATGTGTAAGTGGTCATTCAGCCATCATCTATTTGAAACCCCAGTTATTCGCGTCATTTTTGTTACAAATGCATTTGGGAGAATATGAGAATATAAAAAAAACTCTTCAATTTGTACAATTGGAGTAATGTCCCAACCATTCACAATAATGATGGTCTAGCTGAATTGTAGGTAACCCCTCTTTTGCAATAGTTGAAAGTAATGTGTCATCATCACCCACTTTTATCCACTGCAGGATGCGGGCCTTTCCATATCACGATTCCTCACATCTTGTGATGTCAGAATCCATCTCACTTCTGGACATGAACTCATCTCCACCTGCACAGTCATCATCCTCTTTGGCACGTGTTCTCCTTTGGCTAATAATATTATAACATCTTGTCGATCGTCCATCAATGCCCTATTTGCATAAATTACCAAATCCATGTATGTGTTCCGCTTCAGGTGTCAGTGTAAATCTAAGCACACATCTTCTCCACCCTTGTTTGTGCATTTTCCAGATTTTCCAAATTTCAATGTCAGTGGTAATATTTCGGGCACTGTCATAGAAGGTAATGTGCACAAATTGAAACGTTTCCTCTTCACGCAACTTCGCTGTTGCTCTTCACAATCAAATTCAGATTTCAAAACTTGTTCGCTCTTCGTATAATAATTTTGAAAATCTACTGGTATTAATAAAAAAGTAGGCTTCAGAAATATTATGAGCAAATCAAGTGATGTCCAAGTTTGCTATGCAAACTAAAATAATTGTTGGCAGGAGATAACTGAACACCAAAAACTATGCAATATCTTCCCATTATTTAAAACATCACTTTAAAAATTATGAAATGAAGCCAACAATAGCAAGAGTGCTTTCTAACAACTGAATTTGAGGATTACGAAAAACGCACCAATGTGTAAAGCTGCAAAGATGCATTTATGCATATTATTAATCCTTGAGTAGGCCCTTTGGCCAGTAGTGGTGAGCACACAAGTGCAAGGAAGTGTGTGCATCTTTGCCTTACCTGGATATTAAATTGTTTTTTCTTTTGATGCTTTTATTATTTAGTTATAAAGGCAACGTAATTTTATACTGCGTACATTAATTAGCAAACATTACACATCCTTATTTCTCGAAAGGTGATGTTATCTTTATACAATAGCAAAATAGAAATAAGCACTCCTTCAATTATAATGTGCAATTTCATTGATGTTGTCGTGTGGTATGCGACTGTTTTTGTTTGCTGCCTTGCCCAAGATTGCATTTGGTGTTGAAAAATCGGCGATAATTTATGTTCTTATGCATTTTGTACAGTACTTGTATACTTTATTTACATTCATTTATATTTAGTGACTTGCTTAGCTTTCAATACTTTGCACTCCTATCTGTTGCATTGTTGGTTGTTGTAACTTTGATTTAAAGCTTTCGTGACTGCAGGGATTCATCTTCTTGGTTCTTTCGGTAAAGTCACGTAGAAGGGAAGTAATAAAATAATAAAAATAAAACATAATAAAATTATTCTCACGACGTTTCGGCCACAACGCAAGCAGCCGTCCTCAGGTGAAAACCAGGTCCGTCGAGGCGACAGACTCTGTCGCCTCGACGTTGTGGCCGAAACGTCGTGAGAATAATTTTATTATGTTTTATTTTTATTATTTTATTACTTCCCTTCTACGTGACTTTACCGAAAGAACCAAGAAGATTTTGTAACTTTCTGACCCGTCCCTGTAAACGAGCTTCATGGCTCATCGGATTCTTCCAGTCGAAATAAAGATTCCGATTCTGATATCTGTCCATCCATCTATAAGTGGCATAATTTTTCTACTTCTAATTGTAAACTAAGTAATACACGTGAATGTAAACGAATTGTTTATTCTACTTCTAGGTTACTGGTTTATCCCGTGACATGGACGTCCTTATTTTCTCACAATGAATTAAGAATTTATGCTTCGGAAAAATGAGATCACATTCATTCCACTGCTACAGTAAATGTTAACTCGGGTTACCGAATTGCAGCTACTTAGGAGTCTCAATCGCATTTTTGTACAAACATGAAGATTACAAGTTACCCAACCCCACCTTCATAGTACAAATATGGTACGTACTGTAATTATAAACGCAGCGATCGAGACATCCTTCATACCGGGAAAGCGTTATGGACGCAATTAATCCAACACATTTTCAGCAAACGTAACCCAAGTGACTTACAATACCTCAACTGTTTGCTGCAATTGATACATTCGTGACAAATTATTGTTTCATGAGGCATTCTTCCTAAATGCTGCAGCACCTAAAACCCAGTGATTGACATTGCGTAGCGGCAGCAACTCTCTTCGGCATATCAATATCCAAGTCTCACACGCACACACTCCGATATTGTATTCATCCTAAACCATCGCCTGCATATTAAGACGCAATCGTTCAGGGGATAGCTCCCGAATCAATCGACACAACCAGCGCCGCTCCCAAATAACCATCAAAGAACGCCTCCGCAAGGCCTTCCGAGCCAACTCCCCACCAGCCCCCCGCGCTTTCCTAGAATTCGGGCGCCTTCGTGCGACGCCGACGCCGGCGACAATGAACCAGGCAACGCCGAAGGCTTCGCCGCCAATTTTACAGGCCTACGTAGCGGGGCGAGCGGGCGGGGGGGAACCCCTAACCCCGCCGCGTAGACCCAAGGAAAGCGCCTCGGCTCTTCGTTCGCGACTATCGTTTGCCGCGAGACGACGTTTCGTACTTGCACGTCCTCATTTCGCAACTCGTCGATGAGCACAGCGATGGGGTAGAGGGAATCGTCGCTGTCCGAGGCCGCCATCTTTTTCGCTCGTTCACTCGTCGCGCACAGGACGGAGGTGGGGGGAGGAGTGGGGGGGGGGGTGACGAAGGCGAGGGGGGGGGGCGTCCTGCGGGGTTTCTTAAGCCGAGGCGGCAGGGGCCGGGCGTGACGTAACCACGGCACGCACACGATGGGGGGGGGGGGTGACGAAGGCGAGGGGGGGGGGGCGTCCTGCGGGGTTTCTTAAGCCGAAGCGGCAGGGGCCGGGCGTGACGTAACCACGGCACGCACACGATGGGGGGGGGGGGGGGGGTTGCGCAATAGTTGTAGCGTTTCTAATGTGGCTGGACGCCGGACCCCTGGGTGTCAGAACAGAGGTTTTTTTCCCCATCTCTTAGGTCAGGGGTCGGGAACCTTTTTGACTGGGAGAGCCATAAAAGCCAAATATTTCTAAATATATTTCATTGAGAGCCATATAGTATTTTTAACGTATAATAAATTAAATATGTCTTACTTTTAATGCGACTTCTGGTCACGGGACCCGTGACCCGTGAAATTTATCTTCAAAACTAATTTCTGTTTACTTTCAAATGACACACTATTATTAAGCAATATTACGAGTTTTTTTTTTAATCAGTTCCAAACTGATTTTATTTTATTTTTATTTTCAACTCAAAATTGTCTGGGAGACATATGCCGTCACCGGAAGAGCCATATATGGCTCGCGAGCCATAGGTTCCCGACTGCTGTCTTAGGTATTCATTTTTAAGCATTTGTGAAAACTACATAGCTGTCAAACCATACGGTTTACTCCGTATTCTTGTACAGGGGAGATTGAGTTTTCAGGTCCATACCCTTGTGATGGCACTTTGTAGGATGAACGTTGACATGTATAAGGCCACGGGGTGACCAATAAGCTCTGAATTGGTCTGTAATAAGGCAGTCACTCATCAGGGGTTGACAGGTATGAAACTATAAACTATTTTAAAAATATAAACAATGTTTTATTTTACCCAGGTAAAGTCCACTGAGCTATGCATCTATTTTTTACAGAAGCTACTCAGCTATCACAGATTGAAGTGGCTTATCACGTGGGAATGCATAGCGGCCAAATACTATAAACGCGTGACATTGATTCGAAATGTGGAGGGGAAAACCAGAGGACCCAGAGAAAATTCCACGCAGGCAAGGGGGGGAGAGAGTTTCAGTTGTATTTATTTGGTATAGCCCTGTGAGCCATTCGGCTCTTGAATCGGGTGCAACCGCAACAAACCAAAACATGAACAACAAACATCTTAAAGTGACTACGCGCAACAGAAAAAATCCAGGAAAAAACAGCAAAGTCTTCCAGAAAAAGCACCGAATATCAACGTTGTGTGCAAAAATCCCAGTGGGATGCAAGTCAAACAATAACAACCATAAGACAATTTATATTCTTGGTTCTTTCGGTAAAGTCACGTAGAAGGGAAATAAGAAAATAATATAAATATAAAACAATAAAAAATAGAAAAATGTTCTTGCTGTGGATTTCATACCTGATGACGATTGCTTGTGTTGCAGTCGAAACGTCGTGAAAATTTTTATTGTTTTATATTTGTCTTATTTTATTATTTCCCTTCTACGTGACTTTACCGAAAGAACAAAGAATATGAATCCCTGCAGTCACGAAAGCTTTAAATTAAAACCATAAAAAAATTTAGACTAGAACATGCACACGCCAAATATACAGGTGTCAGGGTCGGGATTGAACCAACAATCTCCTGTATACCTGGCGAGATATTTAACATTTCGCGACCGTGACAACAGCGCCATGTTCGACGTCGGCTGCAGCAAGGTTCACAGTCAGGGAGCGATGTCCCGATGTAGCTTAACCAAATTAGGTCATTTGCTAGGAATTTAAAATGTGACAAATGTAAACCCTGTGACGCCAGGCACACATGGCCTACCGCTTGTTCAAATAACATCACGGGATCTTCAACGCCCACTGTGAATCTCAGAGTGCGTATTTTTTTTGATGAATACGACTGCGGTATTAACCGGATGGGGGACAGGGGCAGCCGGTAGGGGTTTGAACCGCGAACCTCGGCGGCAAGTGGCAGACGTGCCACCACTCGGCCATGGCAATGTCCCATTTCCAACTGCCCTTTCGTGAAGACGAACAGAAGATGTCTTCACTGAGATGCTCAACCTTGACCGGTGGTTCGATGCATTGCACCGATAAGTGGTGGCGATTTGATTCAATGGGAGTGAATATTACGTTGAATTTAATGGTGCTCTTGAAACTAAATGATACAAAAATCACCTAGACCCCTGGCCACCCTTGAAATTTGGTGCAAGATAAACAATATTGACCACAACGTACCCTGCGTTCTTAAGTGCGTTATGGCTTTGAACGCCCATTGCACTTCAACCTGCAATTTTCCACTATCTGCTTGCCTGGATTGAGCGATGAGTATACACCATCAATGTCTGGCTGCTGTATTTTTTTGGTCTCGTCTGTAGTTCTTGCCTTTGCACTGTATTTGAGCACTTTTCCTTCTTGAGTACCATAAATTGCAGTCTCTCTAGAACTGTAATTTATATCCGTTTGTTTCTACCATGCTGTGTTGTTCGACTCGTTTTGTCCATTCCTGTGTCATGTCGGCCCATGTGTTAGCATGGAACGAGCATAGTGTTTGCATTACATTTACACGTAAACAAATGTTTTATTCTTGGGCAATTGATTTGATGCATGCGTCTGTATTTATGTATGTTGAACTTATTTCGCACCATACGTAGCCAACCGTGCTAATCGGACCACTAAGTACAAAAAGCAGTTCTAAAGAAATGAGTTTTCAATCTAGATTTAAAACTGCATATTTCTAGTGGCTTCTTGATTTCGGAAGGAAGAGCCTTCCAGACGGCCGCAGAAGCGCATCTGTACGCGCGCGATGCAGTGAATGGCTTTGTTCGATGTCTGGGCAAAATCCGCAGCTGCAAAGATGACCAGAGATCACGTGATGGTTTGTGCTCCTTAACGGGATCAGCAAGGTTTTGTGACATTCAGGTCATCGATGTATTGACCTGGCCCTACATGCCAGCCGCCTTCCCTCCCATCCATTATGTTAGCCCTTACATATTTTACAAGGCACGATCGATTGATTGGGCTTTTGAAAGTGGCGGTACACTCCTGTTTGGGGAGGCACCAAACAAACTTCATTTCACCTTTTCCACTTACAGGGATTGCGTGCGGGTGATTAATCGTTAAAAGTGAAATGTGCAGGAGCACTGTCATTGCTCGGCACAGTTATTCACACCCCCCACCTCCCTGAGGTTTTGATTGTCACAATTCATAGTTGCAATGCGATTTTTTTTATAACGTGTTTTTTGTCCTTATGGTGAATGGGAATTTTTTTATAGAAAAAACACGGAACAGTGGAGCGTCAAAACTAAAGTAAGGGTTTTAAGTGGCTGCTGCAGCAGCTCCTTTTGCCAACTTCAGCAATTGTTTCTTGCTGTGGTTGTCCCACCTGATGACGGACGCTTGTGTTGCACCCGAAACGTCGTGATTTAATTTATTTTATACCTACGTGACTTTACCGAAAGAACCAAAGAGTATGGATCCCTGCAGTCACGAAAACTTCAAATCTGGATGAAGGGTTTTAAGTTCACGAACGAATTGAATATATCTGTTGGGGGGATACAACAATAAAACAAAGACTATCTATACCTCATATTCTTTGGGTCTTTTGGTAAAGTCAAGTAGATAGTAGGTTCAAAGAAAATAACAAAACTCTACGACGTTTCGATCGCAACACAAGCGGTCAAAACGTCGTCGTTTTTGGTTATTTTCTTTGAACCTATCTACGTGAGTTCACCGAAAGACCCACAGAATATGAAAGGGATTTGTTGCTTGGCGCACACATAACTTCTGGTGCCCACACGCTGTAAATAAAAAAAATATGCGCACTGAGTTTATAGCATTGGCTGGCACAATATGCACGGAACGTTTACGAGGTGGCTTAATGGTGAAAATGTTACTGCCTTGTGCTTGGAAGTTTTTTTTTTTACCTACTGCCCGTGGTGAAAAAATGCTACACGTTGGCAACGGCAGCGAAGGGGAAATGTGAGATGTCTTAGAAGCTGTCATTGATGACCATTCCTCAGCAACTGACCCGCTGCGAGTGGTAGAGCTGTAGCATAGCGGTTGGCATTTAACACGTAGCCTTTCGCGACCAATATTATTCATAATCAACGTTTTTGGGTTTAGATCGCGTTATTTACCACCATTCTGGCGAATTGCCCGATGATGCTGGATGCAATTACCAGCGAAACGTCGTACTCAAAATTTTTTAAATGTTGTGGTTTCACGCTTCAACACACCGGTGGGGCTAAAGCAGTGAACTATTTGTCTTTTGTCAACGTGACACTTTTTTACTGATTGGCCGTGTCGGGTGGTGGAGGGTTACGACACATTTATAAATAACGCAATCTAAACCCAAAAACGTTGATTATGAGCGGTTGGCATGTTACTATTAAGCGTGTCGATTTGACATAAAATCTCAACTGGCCCCTGAGTTCATCCCACCCCCCACAACCCACTTCACCAACTCACACTGACCAGCAGATTGAAGTATGGTCAAACAACACGCATGACTGAACTTCCTTTGCACCGTACGTAGCCAACCGTGCTAATCGGAGGAGCAGACTGCCACAGGTTGGGAATTTCATCCAGCAGTGGGTTGACAAAGCTTGTAAATTATTATTATGATCATAGACTTTACCATGCATATCCACACATTCTCACAGATTAATGCATTTGCCATCTGAAAAATAGACATCCATTGACAGCAATAGGCAGACTTCCAAGAAAGTTATTTGGGGCCCTGGACCAGTGCACTACCTTAGAATACATCCCAAGCCGTTGGGTTCATCCATCCACCCACCCACCCACACTTACCCTTCTGAGCTCCGTGACCTCAATCGCAGCTGCCTGCCCTGGCTGCTGAGTAATTGTAGCCCTGGCAAGCTGACTATGCAAGGATCCTAGTACATATTCTTTGGGTCTTTCAGGAAAATCACGTAGATAAGTTCAAAGAAAATAACAAAAAAATTACGACGTTTCGATC